GTGGTGACCGGTCTGGACTACAGGCAGGTCAGTTTAGCACCCAGACTCTTTTAATACAGAGCAAGGCTGCTGTAATACATGCAGAATGTGGTTTGACATCGTCTTGCTGAAATAATCATGAACCTTTTTAGCCAACTGTGTCTGAACACATCGGAATTAGATCAAGGCCTTCCCTGAAAAAGACGTCGTCTGGATGGCAGCATATGTTGCCAAAATATGTATATATCGTTCAGCATTAATGGTGCCTTCACAGATGAGCACGTCACCCATGCCATGTGCACTAATGCCCCCCTATACCATCATGAATACTGGCTTTTGAACTGTGCACTGATAACAAGCTGAGTGGTCTTTATCCCGGAGGACACAGTGTCCATGATTTCCAAAAAAGAATTTCAAATGTTGATTCATCAGACCACAGGACACTTTTCCATTTCCCCTCAGTCCATTTAAATGAGCTCAGGCCCAGAGAAGGTGGCAGCATTTCTGAATTTTATTAATATTTGGTTTCTTCTTTGTGTTTTAGAGTTTTAACTTGCATTTGTGGATGCAGTGATGAACTGTTTTCACAGACAGTGGTTTTCAGAAGTGTTTCTGAGCCCATGCAGTGATTTCCACTACAGAATCATGTCTGTTTTTAATGCAGTGCTGCCTGAGGGCCCAAAGATCACGGCCAGCAAATACTGGTTTTTGGCCTCGTCCCTCACATACAGAGATTTCTCCAGATTCTCTGACTCTTTTAATGATATTATGTACCGTAGATGATGAAAAGCAGAAGTTCTTTGCTATTTTATATTGAGAATATTATTCTTGAATTGTTGCACTATTTGATGGTGCTGTCTTTCACAGAGTGGTGAACCCTCCTCATCTTTACTTCTGAAAGACTTTTTATACCCAATCATGTTACTGATCTGTTGCCAATTAACCACCACAATTTTTTTGTTGCCCCCGTCCCAACTTTTTTGTTGGGATCAAATTCAAAATGGGCATATACTTTTCAAAAAACAATAAACTTTCTCAGTTTCAACACTTGATTTGTTGTCTTTGTGCTATTTTCAATGAAATATAGTGTTTAAATGATTTGCATATCATTGCATTTTGTTACTATTTACATTTTGCACAGCGTCCCAACTTTGTTTGGAAATGGGGTTGTATTTAAACTGTTAAACTGCCCTGTGAGATTTCAGCTTTTAGATGTCTAAAGCGTTCTTCACAGCAGCGTTAAGTCTGATTAACGCTGAGTGTGAGGACAGTTCAGGCTTCGTCCGACTGCCACTCTGCACAAAATGAGGACACATTTTCCAGACCTCCATGTCGCCCCCTCCCCCAGCCCACTCCTCACGTCCACTGTATCTCAGTTGTTCAAGCTGTAGCACATTAAAGAGCCTGTGTGGATGACTTCATAGTGAAACCAGAGCTTTTTACAAGAGTCGCTCACGACGTCTTAAACAAGACTCACTCACCCATATGGTTCCCGGCGAGGAGGCAGATGAAAGGAGCTGTAAAGCTTATCTTACAGCATACAGCACTGTGTGAAAGTCAGAGACCCCCTTCATTTGTTCAATTTACAGCCAAAGCAGCCTTTCGTTCACTCACTGTGTTCATAACTAAATCGAATATCAGATGTGTAAATTCTTTATGAGCTGAATCAGCTTTTTGTGTCATGATATTGAGGAAAAAGCAGGTTTTTGTACAGTAAGTGTGTTTAATATATTAAAGGGACAGTATCGTGGTCAAACCCAGTTTACCCTGCACTTTTATGTTTGATGTAGTATGCAAATATTAAATATTTAAAATTTACCCCTTTATTCATATTCCATATCTGGAAACTGTGTTTGTGTAGATGAAATAATATTAGGTACAATTAAGCTGTTAAAATCAGAATCAGAAATGTTGAAACCTTTAGAAATCATAGTTGCTTAAAACTTAAAACCCATTTTGCAACATTTCCTCCAAAACCAAACAAACAATCAAAACATTTACAATTTTTATGATCAGAAGTATATAGAGTTACTCATGTATGTAAATGAGCTCTGTTCTGATTGGCTGCCTCATTCAAAAAGCACTGTGCTGAAACATTCCTTATTACGGAGCCCTGCTGATGATATAAATAAAAATAACGTGTGGGATCAAGATCGTGTGACCACGTGGCCACACGTTATTTTTATTTATACAGGATGTCATCAGCAGGGCTCCAAACCTTATAACTTCAGTATGAGTGGGCGGGGCTAAACTGCTATAGACTAATAATATGTAATTGAGGAGGTTCTTGTGAAATCACAAAAAACTGAATTTAAAACGTGTTTATTAAGAACATTTAAAAACCATTATAGTTCCTATGATCAGAAACTGAATAAAAGATAGAGAAAAATATATACGGTTATGTGCAAAAGTTTTGGCACCCCTGGTCAAACTCCATGTATTTGTTGACTTTCTAAGAGTAAAAAAGTGAACATGTCCTTTACGGAGACACACTTTAATGCACAATTGCTGTTCATTTACTAAATTTAACTTTAAAATTAAAACATAAAATGTGTCCTGTGCAAAAGTTGTAACACATTTTATAATTGCAATTTTTTTCCAATATGTCAAATAAACTAAATTGTTTGCAGAAAAATTACATGTTTAAGAACTTATTTACACATAGAATATCAATAAAACATGCCGTTTGACCAGACTTTTGTATACAGCTGTATATTAATCAACAAAATCAGTGCTTTGGTCTCTGAGGGTTAAGAAATCCCATTTTGGGTGGTTATTATTTTGACCCCATATTATAAAAAGCTGAGTTTGTGCCCAAACAGGAGTGCGGAGAGTGAAAGCGTGGGATGGAGGAAAGTGTGCAGAGTGACCCCACTGTTGTTCCTCCTCATTTGTGCTTCTAAATCTGTCCACTCAGCTGCACAAGTGTTCTGTCAAGTGGCCAGAGGTCAGGCCTGGAGCCGTCACTTGTTCCAAACATTTGTCTTCGTGTGGAGACTTTCCCTTAAAGGAACGTGCAATAGAACACCTGTTCCTGAGCCTGCAGACACAAGACCAGAACCTCCAGAGGAGCTTCAGTCCTGCACAGACAAAGAACAGAGACCAGCATCTACTGCGCTTCCTCTGAGCCCCATCACCTCCTCTCCTGCTCCTTCATGGACAGCTGAAGGCCCTGATTTACCTGGAAGAGCGAAACCTTGCGAGAGGGAACAGAAGAAGAAAGAAGAAGCTTCAGTCCTGAGAAGACAGACCAGACCAGCACTCGGCCTGACCACTCCACTCCACTCCACTTCTCCTTCTGCTTCACCATCGAGGCTGCGTTCTTCGTCTGGTCAGCTGTTTTTCCTAAAGGAGAGAACCCTGATCTGAAGAGAGAAGAACCTGATGATCTCTTTTCTTTGATCTTCAAAGCCATTGTCCAAAGAAAGAAAAGGAATCTTTTGAATGCTGACCACTCCGGTGTGGTTTAAGCAGTTAAATACTTAAGCAGAAGTTGAAGGTAAGCAGTGGAGGTGACAGGAGGCAGAAGAGGAAAGAGGAGAAACATCTACAGAGGCTTCAGTCCTCCACAAACGGCCAACAGAGAGCGCTACAGCCAGACCAGCATCTCCTGCTGTCCTTCCTCCAGCCTGATCCTCACGTCTGCATCACCGTCAGAGCTGCGTTCCTCACTTGGTGAGCTAAAGCCTTTGTTTTATCTAAAGTAGGGAACCCTGTTCTGAAGAGAGTAGAACCTGATGGCTACTTCTTTTCTGTGGCCTAAACAGCAGTAAATCACTGTGATTACTGTAATTTCAGTGTAGCTAGTTGTGCTACCTATAGACCATACAGTACATCATAATTATGAGAACGTTTCTTATCACTGACTTGCTACGACTCGGTGTCTCATAATTATTATGTAGTATCTCATAGTTATGACGTAGCATATCATAAATGTGACTCAATATCAAATTATTATAACCTAATATCTCATAATTGCGGATTATAATTCCGTAATTATGACGTATTATCTCATAATTATGCCTTAATATTTTCAAAATTACAAAGGAGTATCTCATAATTATGACTTAGTATCTCATCATAATGAAAAATGTTCTAATATGAGATCCTAAGTCACAATTTACATAGTTAGTTATTGTGAGATATGATCTCATTATTATGACATATTAAGTCATAGAGATAGTATCCCATTATTAAGTCATTATTATGAGATTGTATCTCATATCTCATTATTATGAGTCGCTAAGTAGTAACAATCAGATGCTAAGCCATAATTATGAGATATTAAGTCATTATTATGAGATACTATGGCATAATTATGAGATAGTAAGTCATTAATATGAGAAAGTATCTCATTAGCATGAGACACTAAGTGATTATTATGAGGATATTATGAGATAGTGAATTTGGGTTATAAGATATTATCTAATTATTTTAATTTATTAAGTCGTAATTATGAGATGCTATGTGATAATTATGAGATAGTAAGTCATCAATATGAGATAGTATCTCATTAGCATGAGACACTAAGTCATTGTTATGAGGATATTATCTCATAATTAAGAGAGAGCGAGTTTTGGTTATGAGATATTACCTTATTATTTGGATTTATTAAGTCGTAATTATGAGTTGCTATGTCATGATAATTCCTCTTTATTCTGACCTGCTGATTGGCTGATGTAAACGGACTTGTGTAACTTGTAGCTGAGGTCAGACTTTCTCTGCTCTCAGTGAGGAAGTTTTGACAGCCAGTCCTCTCAGCCCCGCCCCCTCCTCGTGCATGCTCTGACAGACAGAGTCAAACTAGTGACTTCATCCCTCATTCACGAGAACCCCCCTCCCCCGCCTCCCTACCTCTCTCTCCCCCTCCCTTACTCTCTCTCTCCAACTCTCCCTCCTTCCATCTCTCTCTCTTTCCCCCCCTTCCTCTCCCCCCTCTCTCTCCCTCCCTGTCTCTCTCTCTTTCCCCCTCCCTCTCCGCCCCCCCAGCTCTCTCTCTCTCTCTCTCTCTTTTAGTCAGCATGCCCGTGGTCCTGCTCGCGCTGCGCTCCGTGCTCCTCTCCGTCCTCAGTAGCAGGCTGACCCGCGCGCTCGCGCAGCACCTCCGCAGGCTCCTTTCCGCGGCCTCCTCGCGCTTCGCCGCTGCGCTGCGGCACGTGTGGGAGCGGCTCCGCTCGCAGGAGTCTAAGGAGGCGATCCTGGGCTGCGTGCTGTGCATCCTCAACATGCACAAGAAGGTGGACAGCAACTGACCGCTGGAGGGGACTTTCGGACTTTATTATGAACTGAAACAGTGTTTTTAGTGTTATTGTTATTGTTATTGTTATTGTTATAGTTACTGTTGTTCTAAACTCGCTGCGGGAGAAACCGAGAGCATGTCAGAGAGCATCGTGAGGAAGATCCAGCCTTTCACCATCGGGACTAAACTCTCCGCGCCGGCCGGACACGACTACCGGACTCTGGACAGCTGCGCGCTCCAGCGCCGTCTGACCGGGCAGGTGTCTCCGGGCCTCGTGCGCGCCACTGACACGCGCGCACCTGGCGGCGACCCTCCGGACAGGCTTGGCGAGCAGGAGATGGACCGCCTGAACAGAAACGAGACCCCCGCGACCACCAACACCACAACCACGACCGCTCCGTCCTCCAGATCCATCCGCAAGATCACCATCTGCAGCGGGCTGGAGAGCCGCAGGACAGCGGCGCACATCAGCGCGAGCTCCGAAAACATCAACAACAACAACAACATCATCACACAGCTGCCCAGGATAGTGGGGGTCAGCTGTGAGAACGAGCCTCACTCACATTTCAAGGTATTTACAGCTCATAACTACCTAAAAATGCAGAAATTCATACTGAGAGTCTGAGCACGCGGCCAGCGAAGTGTGTTTAGAGAGCAGCTTAAAGGGGAATTCCACCGATTTTCCAAAAATTCCCCCATAACTCAGTGTGTGAGGTGTAATCAGAGAGATTCAGAGTGGTTTGGTGTAAAATGGTTCTGGTGTCTTTACAGTGGTGGTGATAGGAACCAGGGGTCGCCATGACCACAACACAAATATAGACATTTTATTTACTATCCAGAACCACCAGTGAACCTACACGAGTCTTCTGAGTTTATATGGAATGTTGATGATGGAAAATAGTGGAAAATCTGAAATAATAAGTTTTCTTTGGGGACTATTTTGCCTCACAGCGCCCTGCATGTATCCCTCCACCATGAATGGAGTTTAAGTTCTCTAAACTATCATAAAACAGTGTCTCAGTCATCAGGCAGTGAATTCATAACCATTTCATGTAGGAACTTTCTGTGAGGGAGCTTTTAGAGGTGGACGTCTGGTTCCTATCACCACCACTGTGAACAGTTCTGAATTCGGTAAGATTCTCTACAGCGGAGCGTTTCACACCAAACCAGTCTGAACCACTCTGATTACATCTAAACTGTTTGATTATGCTGAAATTTTGAAAAATTAGTGGATTTCCCCTTTATTTGAGATGCAAACAAAGTGATTCAGGGTGGTTTGATGTAAAATGGTTCGTTGTAGAGAAACTTAGTTACTTTATTTATTTACTGTCCAAGCCTCCTCGTGTCTTCCGAGTGTGTGTGTGTGTGTGTGTGTGTGTGTGTGTGTGTGTGTGTGTGTGTGTTGATGTAAAAAATCTGCCCTGCATATTTGGTTCCTGGTTCCTATCACCACCACTGTGAACAGTTCTAACTCGGTACGTTTCTCTAGAACAGAGCGTTTCACACCAAACCGCTCTGAACCGCTCTGATTACATCTTAACCACTTAATTATACAGGAATTCTGGAGACCAGTTCCATTTCAGTGGAATTCCCCTTTAACGTTAACAGGATTATAACCCAGAGTTTCTCAGAACGCTCCTACGGCCGACTGTGGGGGAAAATATGTAGGCTAAAAATGCAGTTTTGCAGCAGTGTGTGATTTCAAACATTAAGGAATTATAAATAAACAAACAAACAAGCAAACAAACAGATGTACTGCGATCTCAACATAAGGGGTGAACAATAAACAGACATTAGCATGTGTGGCTTAACATTACAGGAGATCCACCACACGGCAGCAAAGGCAGCAGCTTCTACGCTTAGTGTTACAGAACTTTTATAATGTTTAAAAATGCTCATTAAATCATAACAACATGTAAATATTATATATCTAGCAGTTCTGGCTAGAGTTCAGAGTTCAGGCTGCTGTGTCCTACGCTCTGAAAAAAAGATGGTTCTTCCATTGTTCTTCTTTAGTAAAGACAATGGTTTATTTAGAACCGTGAGCTCTATATAGAACAAATTCCTGATTAAATGGTTCTCTACATGGTGAAATGGTTCTTCTGAGTGATGGAGAATGTTGTATATGGTTCTATATGCAGCCTTTTTGAAAAAGCCTGGCATAATAATAGCAGAACCCTTCTTGGTGCTAAATAGGACCATTTACAAAATGGTTGTATATAGAGCCACGTTGGGGTGGGTGATATAGCAAAGATATAATATCGCAATACTTCAAGAAAATTTTATAATACACAATATTTATTTTTTCAGGCATCTGATCAGTTTGAACAGAGAAAAAAGGAACTGCGTTTTAAAAATGCAATTAAAATCTGTGAACACAGTGATTTATATTCAGTATTTGTCTCTAAATCCAGTTAAACAGACTAATTTTACTCTCTTTATAATGAAACATGCAGTTGGTCAGTTTCTACAAGCGCTGATTGATATACAGGATATGATCAGAAGAGCATGTTGTTCTGAATTGTGACATAATTTATCACGATAACAACATGTATTGTCATGTTGCCTAGACCTAAAAGAACCCTTTTTGGGACTCTTGATTATCTTGAGTATCTCTTTTTTAAGAGTGTGCATTTAATAATATCAAAAACTAAACAGTTTTTTTATTCAGTATTTCTCACTAAACCCAGTTAAACAGGACTAATTTGTCTACAGGTTCTGATGATAAACACGACATGTTCAGAAAAGAATATAGTATTGAACTGTGACATCATTTATCACAATAATGTAATGGTTATTGTCATATCGCCCAGCCCCAGTAGAACCCTTTTTGAGATTCTTGAGTATCTTGAGATCTCTGCTTCCTAAGATGGGATCCTTTTGGGAGAATATGTTATATAGAAATATATACACCATCAGTCTGAAGAACCGTTTAAGCATGATAATACCTTTTCTTTGGGGACTATTTTGCCTCATATACTTCTACACCTATGAACGAATCTGTTTCAGGCCTCAAAACTATCATAAAACAGTGTCTCAGTCATCAGGCAGTGAATTCATAACCATTTCATGTAGGAACTTTCTGTGATGGAGCTTTTAGAGGTGGACGTCTGGTTCCTATCACCACCACTGTGAACAGTTCTGACTCGGTAAGTTTATCTAGAACAGAGCGTTTCACACCAAACCACTCTGAATGACTGTTGACATATGATTATGCAGAAATTTTGGAAAATCAGTGGAGTTCCCATTTAGTTTGGGTAACAGTGTCCCCGTCAGTCAACATCACATCGCTGAAAATAAAGAAAAAGAATCTCAGGGTCTTCAGGAAATTCGGATGATGCTCATTCCTGTTAAACACATTGTGAAATGTTCCAGATGTTCCACATGAGCGAATGTGCTCAGGTAACAGGGTTGACTGAATGTGAGGGACCAAAATATAAAATTATTCACCCATAAATGCAAAAATAATAAGGTTTTTGAAATAACGAATATAGGTAAAGTTAAAGTCTGGTTAATGGGCTGAAACAGGCTGTTTTCTTACATGAGGCAGATTCTTTATTCTTTATTCTTCATTCTTTATTATTCTTTATTCGTTATTCTTCATTCGTTATTCTTCATTCTTTATTATTCTTTATTCTTTATTTTTTATTATTCTTCATTCGTTATTCTTCATTCTTTATTATTCTTTATTTTTTATTATTCTTTATTCTTTATTCTTCATTCTTTATTATTCTTTATTATTCATTATTCTTTATTCTTTATTATTCTTCATTCGTTATTCTTCATTCTTTATTATTTTTTATTATTCTTTATTCTTTATTCTTCATTCTTTATTATTCTTTATTATTCATTATTCTTTATTCTTTATTATTCTTCATTCGTTATTCTTCATTCTTTATTATTTTTTATTATTCTTTATTCTTTATTCTTCATTCTTTATTATTCTTTATTATTCGTTATTCTTTATTCTTTATTATTCTTTAATCTTTATTCTTTATTTGGGTCCCCATTAGCTTCCACAAAGTGGTCGCTAGTCTTCCTGGGTTCCACACAAGAGAGATTACAATCAAAATAAAACAAACAATCTTTAACATCATCCTGTATCATTAAAAAACACAAAATAACCAACACTCAAAGTAAGTCAAAAATAAGTCAGTTCAGAAATCACAATAACACAATAACATCTGTATAAAGTTCATCAAATTTTGTTTTTAAAAACAAAATCTGCTGGTGATCTGACTGATGTTAATGGGGCTATAAAGAACGGTTCTCTTCATACAGTCTGATGTGGACTTGGTACCACCAGCTGACCAGAACTCACTCGATGTGTATTTCACTCATGACAAAAAGCTGAAAATACCAGTTTTTTACTGAAGAAGTGTGGCGTGTTATTCCAAATGACATTATGCATAAATAACAGAAGACAAGATTCCAATTTAGCAATTAATGTGGAAAATCTGTCTTTACATGCATATTTTAAATGGAATATATCAGTGGGACACAGATAGCACCACTAGTCGCCCATTAGTCCCGATGCTGCCTAATTAAGTCATGCTCAGTTTAATATTATAGTCCGCACAAAATAGTACCACACATTTTCACACTGAGTGTGTTTACACACACTCAATAATCCGATAACTGCAGAAATTTTTTTCAGATTTTGTCAGTAACCCGACCAACACGTTTACATGCACTTGAGTAATCAGATAATGGGGAAACTTCGGGTCTACATGAGTCAGACAGTAATCAGATTTCTGCTTTACAACCAGCTAATAAACGTAACGTAAATGTCAAACTTCACACCGAGGCTTTTTTATAAACATCGCACCACTTTAGCTGAAAATATGAACAAACATCATCTAGAAGATGAAGAATATTTAAATCCTTCATTTCCTGTTTGGTTACAGCGCCGCTCCAACAGTGATTTGCTGTGTCTTGTGACATCCACCGTCTGATCTCACGCAGACTGAGAAATCTGATAGAAATCAGAAGAAGAGTTTACACTGAGAAATCTGATTACTGAGCTAAAATCCAGCCTCTTTATCGGATTTCTTAATCGGATTTCCAGATCGGAGTATGGTGTTTACATGACCATTTGAATAACTGCAGAAATCCGATTATGATCGGATTATTGAGTGCATGTAAACGCACTCACTGAAGCGCAACTCGATTTGATTCCGATTTCGTCTGACAGTCTCATCTTCCGCCCTTCGCCAGTGATCTTGCATCATGTGAGCCTTGATGTGTTTCTTCATTCATGCTTGAGGGAAAACGATGAGGTCATCCTTCATTCTTTCGGTCTGGGCTTGCTGTTGCACATTTGATTATACATTTTGTGCATTCAGAACAATGGAGAGGCTTGTCACTCTAATGAAAAGGTCGTTTTTTCTGTCCTCCAGTGGATTCAAATGATGTATTTATACAATTAAAGCTCTTCCTGGAATGACTGCTCAAGTTCAAATGATGTCAGCGCTTCAGCTGAAAGGAGCCATTCTGGAAACTGTATCTGGAGAATTGAGGGAGGTTTTAGTGGACGGCAGCGTTAAACAGATGGAGTTTGTGTAGTAGATGACAGTATAATTCTGTCCTTCTGACAGTAGCAAAAACTCTAACATCAGCAGATTCTAATGGATCCTGAAAGGGCAGCCGCTGACCGTGTTGTGTCTCTGTTTGCTGGCAGGTTTTGCTGCGTAAAGACTCAGACGATGAGCAGCGCAGCAGCAGCGAGAGGACGAACGGATTTCTACTCAACGGGGAGAATCGCTCAGAGATCCAGCAGGTGAATATGATACAGATCCACGCAGAGCGAGGTGTGGCTGCAGCTCACCTGATCCTACTGGCTTAATCAGTCTCAGCCTTCAGAACCACTGATTAGTCATAGGAGATCTGCTTCTGCTTGTTGGGCCTGTTGTGCATAAGATTAGTGACCCTGTTCAGAGAATACAGTGATATTAGGCTTTTCACGGTCATGAAACGTTTAATGAGCTGAGATGCTCCGACCTGACAACAGAATCAAACAGACAACCGTCGCTCAGCGCCGCCCTCTAAAGGCGCCATTAACAAACATCAAATAAACAAACGTCGCTCAGCGCCGCCCTCTAAAGGCGCCATTAACAAACATCAAATAAACAAACGTCGCTCAGCGCCGCCCTCTAAAGGCGCCATTAACAAACATCAAATAAACAAACGTCGCTCAGCGCCGCCCTCTAAAGGCGCCATTAACAAACATCAAATAAACAAACGTCGCTCAGCGCCGCCCTCTAAAGGCGCCATTAACAAACATCAAATAAACAAATGTCGCTCAGCGCCGCCCTCTAAAGGCGCCATTAACAACCATCAAATACACAAACGCCGCTCATCGCCGCCCTCTAAAGGCGCCATTAACAAACATCACATAAACAAACATCAAATAAACAAACGTCGCTCAGCGCCGCCCTCTAAAGGCGTCATTAACAAACATCACATAAACAAACATCAAATAAACAAACATCGCTCAGCGCCGCCCTCTAAAGGCGCCATTAACAAACATCAAATAAACAAACGGCGCTCAGCGCCGCCCTCTAAAGGCGCCATTAACAAACATCAAATAAACAAACGTCGCTCAGCGCCGCCCTCTAAAGGCGTCATTAACAACCATCAAATAAACAAACGTCGCTCAGTGCCGCCCTCTAAAGGCGTCATTAACAAACATCAAATAAACAAATGTCGCTCAGCGCCGCCCTCTAAAGGCGTCATTAACAAACATCAAATAAACAAATGTCGCTCAGCGCCGCCCTCTAAAGGCGCCATTAACAAACATCAAATAAACAAACGTCGCTCAGCGCCGCCCTCTAAAGGTGCCATTAACAAACATCAAATAAACAAACATCGCTCAGCGCCGCCCTCTAAAGGCGCCATTAACAAACATCAAATAAACAAACGGCGCTCAGCGCCGCCCTCTAAAGGCGCCATTAACAAACATCAAATAAACAAACGTCGCTCAGCGCCGCCCTCTAAAGGCGTCATTAACAACCATCAAATAAACAAACGTCGCTCAGTGCTGCCCTCTAAAGGCGTCATTAACAAACATCAAATAAACAAATGTCGCTCAGCGCCGCCCTCTAAAGGCGCCATTAACAACCATCAAATACACAAACGCCGCTCATCGCCGCCCTCTAAAGGCGCCATTAACAAACATCACATAAACAAACATCAAATAAACAAACGTCGCTCAGCGCCGCCCTCTAAAGGTGTCATTAACAAACATCACATAAACAAACATCAAATAAACAAACATCGCTCAGCGCCGCCCTCTAAAGGCGTCATTAACAAACATCACATAAACATACATCAAATAAACAAACATCGCTCAGCGCCGCCCTCTAAAGGCGTCATTAACAAACATCACATAAACAAACATTAAATAAACAAACATCGCTCAGCGCCGCCCTCTAAAGGCGTCATTAACAAACATCACATAAACATACATCAAATAAACAAACATCGCTCAGCGCCGCCCTCTAAAGGCGTCATTAACAAACATCACATAAACATACATCAAATAAACAAACATCGCTCAGCGCCGCCCTCTACAGGCGCCATTAACAAACATCACATAAACAAACATCAAATAAACAAACGTTGCTCAGCGCCGCCCTCTAAAGGCGTCATTAACAAACATCACATAAACAAACATCAAATAAACAAACGTCGCTCAGCGCCGCCCTCTAAAGGCGTCATTAACAAACATCACATAAACAAACATCAAATAAACAAACGTCGCTCAGCGCCGCCCTCTAAAGGCGTCATTAACAAACATCAAATAAGCAAACGTTGCTCAGCGCCGCCCTCTAAAGGCGCCATTAACAAACATCAAATAAACAAACGTCGCTCAGCGCCGCCCTCTAGAGGCGTCATTAACAAACGTCAAATAAACAAACGTCGCTCAGTGCTGTCCTCTTAAGGCGTCATTAATAAACATCAAACAAACGTCGCTCAGCGCCGCCCTCTAAAGGCATCATTAACAAACATCAAATAAACAAACGTCGCTCAGCGCCACCCTCTTAAGGCGTCATTAACAAACATTAAATAAACAAACGTCGCTCAGCGCCGCCCTCTTAAGGCGTCATTAACAAACATTAAATAAACAAACGTCGCTCAGCGCCGCCCTCTAAAGGTGTCATTAACAAACATTAAATAAACAAACGTAGCTCAGCGCCGCCCTCTAAAGGTGTCATTAACAAACATTAAATAAACAAACGTCGCTCAGCGCCGCCCTCTAAAGGTGTCATTAACAAACATCAAATAAACAAACGTCGCTCAGCGCCGCCCTCTAAAGGTGTCATTAACAAACATCAAATAAACAAACGTCGCTCAGCACCGCCCTCTTAAGGCATCATTAATAAACATCAAACAAACGTCGCTCAGCGCCGCCCTCTAAAGGCGTCATTAACAAACATCAAATAAACAAACGTTGCTCAGCGCCGCCCTCTAAAGGTGTCATTAACAAACATTAAATAAACAAACAACACTCAGCGCCGCCCTCTACAGGCATCATTAACAAACGTCAAATTAACAAAGATCAAATAAACAAACGTCGCTCAGCGCCGCCCTCTAAAGGCGTCATTAACAAACATCAAACAAACAAACATCAAATAAGCAAGTATTACTTGTTGCTCACCAAAGTTCGAGCTGTTGTTGTTTTCCTGAGACCTGTGATGTGTTGTTGTATAATGATAACAGTCCTAATTGCTTTATCTTATTTTTTTCCCTTTTTTATTTGTATATGGATTTGTCAAAAGTTGTTTTCATTAGGACTAAATGATGAATTTTTAAATATAAAAACAATTTTCAAATTGCAGGAGCTGCAACATTAATTCTGTTCTACATTAATCTCTCTGATCTTAACAAGCATTAAGTGGAGAAATATAATCTGATGATGCTGAGCTCCTGAACTGGCAGTCATTTAGTGCTCAAGCCTGAAAAACCATATGTGCTGGACTTCTTGGCCAAAAAAAAGACCAGAGCTTAATATAAAAATAATCATAATTAAATTGTAATTGTAATATTGGTCAGAAAAATGGTTGATCCTGTACCACAGCTTAAAGGACTGAACTGTGCAGAAGTTCCCTAATTCTATCACCTCTGCAGCCTGGATACACACAGGCTTTTCAAATGTGTCTTTCCACTGTGTGTTATCGTCATCCCGACTGCACCGGAGCGCGGTGTTCCGTGAGGCAGCGTCCTGAGCCGCCTCCCCGATGGCGCTTGTGCTTTGTGTGCAAGGAAACTGCATTTTTGACCACGAATGACTTTTTGAGTGGTGTGAGTTTAGCCACAGCCAGATGTACGTATGATAATGGTCTCTGGGAATTTAGGAAGTGATGTCATGTGCAGAGGCGGCCAAGCCTAAACGACTTATTATTTTAGGTTTTCTGTTGGGTTTCTGCAGAGGGGAAAGCGCAGCGGTGAAACCTTTATGGCCACTCTGGGTTTGTGCGAGTCGAGGATAAGTGCTTTTTGGTCAGATTAAATCTATGGCCTGACCACCTGTTATTTGGGAGGGGCACACAGGGTTCTTTAGTTAAGACAGTGGTTCTATATAGAACTATGAACACTCAGAGATTTGCATGCTTAACTGGTTCTTTGCATGGTGAAATCAGACAGATGTTGTGGATGGTTCTATACAGCACCAAAAAGGCTTCTCTTGTACACAACCTTGACATTGTAACAACAGCAGAACCCTTTTCTGTGTTATATAGAACCATATGCAAAACATTCTCCTTCAATCTGAAGAATGATTTCACCATTTAAGCATGCAAATGGTTCTTTGAGTGTTCATGGCTCTGTATAGAACCCTTGCAGAACCATCTTTTTTGAGCTTGCAATATACGGTTAAAACATGTTTCTTTAAGGGTTCTTTAGAAACAATAGTAGTTCTTTACAGAAGCACTCAAAGAACCGTTTGCATGCATGGTGAAACACGGAGAATGTGTTCTATATGGTTCTGTATCGCGCCAAAACGCATTCTGATATTGTTATGTCAAGCTTGTAACAATAGCAGAACACTTTTTGATGCTACATGGAACCATATACAACACATTCTCCATCGATTTGAAGAACCATTTCACCATGCAAAGAACCATATCAGCATGATTGTTCATGGCTCTATATAGAACCCTTATAAAACCATCTTTTTGAGTGCTCACAACACTCCTAAAAAACATGGTTCTTTAAGGGTTCTTTAGTAAAGACAGTGGTTGTATATAGAAACACTCAAAGAACCATTTCATGCTTAAAGGGTTCTTTGCATGGTGAAACATCCAGAATGTGTTCTATATGGTTCTATATAGCACCAATACAATATTGTTGTATTGTTGTATTAATGATGTCAAGCTTGTAACAATAGCAGTACACTTTTGGGTGCTATATAGAACCATATACAACACATTCCCCATTACTCTGAAGAACCATTTCACCATGCAAAGAACCATATCAGCATGAGTGTTGATGGCTCTATGTAGAACCATTGTCTTTACTGAAGAACCCTTGAGGAACCATCTTTTTAAAGAGTGCAGATGTGTGCTGAGGTCGTTCTCCAGTCGCTGTAACGTTCTCCAGGTCTTCAGGTTGAGTTCTGTGAAGCGTGGTTTCTCCGGCGCTCCGTTCTCTGAGCGAGAGGCGGATCTTCCTCCTTTTTGACACCATGTGGAAAACATGAGGTCACACAGGATAGACGTCGGCGCGGCAGGACACACGCAGACATCCGCAGTGCTGGACGATAGTGTCCTTTAACAGCCGGCGCTGGCGTTTGAGGTGACCCCAGGTTGACAAGACAGAGGTGGTGATTTTTCCACTGTGAGCCACAAGCAAGATGCCTGAGATCTGTGACAGAAGGAGAAGTGGGGGGGGGGTTGAATAAGATGAGATGGTATGACGTAATGATCTGCCTTTTCCCACCATTCCAGATGTTTCCCCGCTGAAGGAAGGGAGTGCAGACCTCTGTCAGCAGAACCCTCCCAGTTTGTCCCCGTTGCCGTTGTCGTCATCTGTTGTGCTGATGTTTGTGTTCTGGCTGAACTGTGGGGCAGATGTTTGCAGTGGTTTTCTGTTGTGTAAACTTTAATTAACCGTTAATCTGGGCTCTTTTACGTTCCCTCCTGCTGAGGCGATTACGCTGCAGTCCAGCTCTCCTCCTGATTCGAGCTCCAGTCAGCGGGACTTTACCAAACACACATTCTGAACTGAAGGGGAACTCCACTGATTTTTCAAAATTCTGCATAATTTACTGGTTAAGATGTAAACAGAGTGGTTCTGAGTGGTTTGGTGTGAAACGCTCCGTTCTAGATAAACTTACCGAGTCAGAACTGTTCACGGTGGTGGTGATAGGAACCAGACATTTACTGCAGGACGTCTGTTATGTTTATGACCGATTTACACTGCATAGAAAATCTCAGATTAAATTACAGTGATGGAAGGGGCTGCTCAGTTTACGTACCACCTTCAGTCCAAATTAAGAGTAGAAACAAATTTAAACCATGGAGTTATTTTTATGGCACGGGATTAATATAATCTGGGATTATTTCTGTAGTTCATTTTTAGTACTGGATAAATATAACCTGGGATTATTTCTTGGTTTGATGTATAGCATATAATTAATATGTTCTGGGATTATTTCTACAATTTGTTGTATAGCATGAGATTAATATAATCTATGATTATTTCTACAGTTTGTTTTATAGTACTAGTATAATATAACCTGGGTTAATTTCTATGGTTTGTTTAATAGTACAGGATTAATACAATCTGAGGCTAATTCTATACTTTGTTTTGTAGCGTGGGATTAATAAAATATGGGGTTATTTCTACTATTTTGATTAATAGCAAGAGTTTAATATAATCTGGGTTTATTCTAAAGTTTGTTTTAAAGCACAGGATTAATATAATCTGGGGTTAATTCTACAGTTTGTCAGTCTTTTTTATTTGTAAAGGTACCACAGCCATTTCTTCATTGTTTATTCCTCTCAGTCTTCAGAACTTTGATCATCTCTAAGTGATAACGTACTCCGTATTGATCAGATATGTATTTGGGATTCAGTGGACAGAGGAGTGGACGTCTTTGTGTTCTAGCCCTATTTTGGTCTGTGTTAGGACTCCTTCTGTCCTCTCACTTATTGTACTTGTGTGGTTCAGTTCATCATGAGCTCCAAATGATGCAAATTATTTACGAGACCAAGTTGGCGCCTCTTTTAATTTAGTCATCAGCGACATCATCACTGTGTGACTGTGCTTGTGGTTTTGTGGGCAGTACTAATCCTAAATGACCCCGGCTCTTGTCTGAGCTAGTTTTCTTTGTTTTTTGTTCTTTGTGCTCTTATTTATTAAATTACTCGCACTTGTCAAGGCAGCCTACTGCAGAGACAGCAGGGCTTCAGAGTTAAAGGGGAATTCCAACCGTTTTCCAAAATTCCTGCATAATTGTTCACAGCGGTGGCGATAGGAACCAGACGTCCACCTCTAAAAGCTCCCTCACAGAAAGTTACTACATGAAATGGTTATGAATTCACTGCCTGATGACTGAGACACTGTTTTATGATAGTTTAGAGAACTTAAACTCCATTCATGGTGGAGGGATACATGCAGGGCGCTGTGAGGCAAAATAGTCCACGTGTAGGTTCACTGGTGGTTCTGGATAATAACTAAAACTATTAACTGTCCACTGTTTTTATTTCTGCACAGCTAAATTGGCTGATTGGCAGGTTTTTAGAATGACATTTATTAGCCTTTTTACCCTGAAGTTTACACTGTGTGGGCTAAACGAACACATGAATCACTCCAGCACATTTCCAGCACTTTCTATTATCTATAATACACCATCATATGCAAAGGTTTGGGCGCCCCTGCTCAGATTACGTCTTGTTGATTTTCTAAGTGAAAACAAGAACAAAATTATTTGCTGAATTTAAAATATTTGAATAAACATAAAGCATAAAATACACCTTGTGCCAATGTTGTGGCACATTTTTATATTTCATGTTTTCCAATATGTTAAACTCAGGAGGAAAACTGAATTTGTGCATTAAAAGACCAAAAATGCCATTTTTAGGTTCCCTGTTGATGATGTTTTTACTCATTTTCACTTAGTAAATCAATAACATGTAATTTTACAGGAGTTGTTCAAACTTACGACTGTAAATGATATTATATACTTTTTAATGGGCCAAACTGGCCAAACTGGCCAAACTGGCATTCTGAATTCTTAAGTGAAATATCAGTTTCCCATTTAAATACCACAAATAAAATAAAGTGCTACGTTAAAGGCTACAGTGGTGCAGGTATAGCAGCAGCAGTGAAATACAGTGCGAGTGCACTCACCTCGTTTACCTCATTAAACTGCAGCACAGAACCAACAGAGTCACAATAACACACAATGTGTGTTTGGAGCAGAAACCTGTCGATCTATCGTGGATGATTATGATAGTTCGTCCCTAATGACTATGTTAGTGTGATAGACATGGTGACAGTGTGTGAAACCCCCCGGTAATCGGGGGTCCCGTGTTGTCTGTCTGCTATCTCTCTCTCCATAGCGGCGCTGATGATTCAATGTCAGTAAATGTTTGTTTTATCAGCTGTTCTTCTGTAGAGTCTCTGTTCTAGTGCGGTTCTGCGCTCTTCCTCACAGTAACTGAGATCTTCCTCGTCTCCTCTTCTGTAGAGTCTCTGTTCTAGTGCGGTTCTGCGCTCTTCCTCACAGTAACTGAGATCTTCCTCGTCTCCTCTTCTGTAGAGTCTCTGTTCTAGTGCGGTTCTGCGCTCTTCCTCACAGTAACTGAGATCTTCCTCGTCTCCTCTTCTGTAGAGTCTCTGTTCTAGTGCGGTTCTGCGCTCTTCCTCACACTAACTGAGATCTTCCTCGTCTCCTCTTCTGTAGAGTCTCTGTTCTAGTGCGGTTCTGCGCTCTTCCTCACACTAACTGAGATCTTCCTCGTCTCCTCTTCTGTAGAGTCTCTGTTCTAGTGCGGTTCTGCGCTCTTCCTCACAGTAACTGAGATCTTCCTCGTCTCCTCTTCTGTAGAGTCTCTGTTCTAGTGCGGTTCTGCGCTCTTCCTCACATTAACTGAGATCTTCCTCGTCTCCTCTTCTGTAGAGTCTCTGTTCTAGTGCGGTTCTGCGCTCTTCCTCACAGTAACTGAGATCTTCCTCATCTCCTCTTCTGTAGAGTCTCTGATCTAGTGCGGTTCTGCGCTCTTCATCACAGTAACTGAGATCTTCCTCGTCTCCTCTTCTGTAGAGTCTCTGTTCTAGTGCGGTTCTGCGCTCTTCATCACAGTAACTGAGATCTTCCTCGTCTCCTCTTCTGTCTTCAGTGTGAGAAATGAGGAACAGTCACTCTTCACTCCAAACTCTTGGGAAACTGGGCGAGTTTTCAGATTTACAGATCTGCTGCAGCTCATTGTAAAGTGTTTCAGAGGAATCCGGGCAGAGTTACAGTTTCTAGGCTATGAAGGACCAACTGGGTGAACCAGTCTGCTACAGCGCCACCCTGAGGCAGAGGAGTGCTGCAGCTCTAGTTAGTTAAGAACACCAGAGACAGAAGCTGATTGTGGGGGAAGCAGATCAACAATCAGCTTCACTGAATCTGGATTTGAGCGTCTGTTTTTCTAACGGACAGCGTAACGTCATAAGTTTATTTTCAAGACCCCCCAGAATTTTGATTTTGAGACATTCAGAGGGTCCAAGAGGTTAATTAGAAGGTATTGGACCCCCAGGACCCCCTGTATTTTGTACTTTGCATGGCAACCCTTTAAACGTTGTTTTGTTTCGTTTTTCAGCGTTGTTGTAACTGAGACTCTTTGTCCATCTTTTCACGAACAGACGCCAGCGTTCAAATCTCGATCACCCAAAAGGGACCTGGTGAAGGGAAACAGCCCACCCTGCAGTCACAGAGAGATCTCCATGGTGTCGAAGGTGTTGTCGGTTCAGAAGGACTGTTTCACTCAGCAAAACGCACTCTTCAGCAAGGAGATATCTCAGGTATTACACCACATTCAGTCATGCTGTACTTCCATTATATCCATCTGTGTGTTTTAGTGTCTTTTAAAGGACCAGTTCTGCAAAAGAGATCAGATTGACCCAGTTTACCCAGTTATCAGCCAAGACGTTGTCTAAAGTGGCTGCATGTAGCTTTGTTCATGTTTATATCTCACAGTGAGTCACTGTGTCTAAAACCACATCTACAACTCTGCTCCACCTTAACGAGGACCTGGATGTGATTTGAGAGAAGTTTTGGAACGATGCAGCCTATTTAGGTGACTATTGAGTTGTAGTATTTGTTAGCAATGTTAGCCTCCAGTTCTAAACTAAAGAAGCACATTGTGGACTTGGAACAAAATGTAAAATCACGATACTTCAGGAAGTTTTTGTCACAATGTTTATTTTTTCTGATATCTGACAAGTTAGAACATAAAAAGTAGCACCACATTTAAAAAATACTTTCAAAACTATGAATCCAGTCACTTGCATTCAACATTTTACACACCGTGCTGCACTAAACCCCATTATACAGGACCAATTATGCTCTGTTTTAATCAGACGTGCAGCTGGGAGGTGTTTGTAAGCACTGATGATGATACCCACAATTTGCTTACAAAAGCATATTGTGACAAATAGTGATGTAATTTATCACGATAATGATAAATGTTGTCATATTGCCCATCTCTGACCGGAAACACATCTCATCTTTCACTGTAAATGAGTTTTTCCCCAAACTGTTCCTTTAAAGGAGACGTACTCCTACTGTTATTCATTCATATTATATTATTATCCGTCACTGAAAACGCATCATCATGCTGTCCTGCTCTGTGGAGCTGGACCTCTCCGAGGTTAATCTCACTTTCCAGGCTTTGCAGCTGAGCCTGTGATGAAAGGTGAGGAAGGAGTGCAGCCGAACAAGCGTGTTGCTAATGTGGAAAACGAAGCTTTAAAAAGTGATGGGCAGGCAAAAATCTGCTTACAGAGACGGAAACAGACAGTGACTGTCCTCTGACCCCGTCACCAGTGTTCAGCTCTCTATCTCTGTCTCTCTCTCTCTCTCTCTCTGTTGCTCTTTCTCTCTCTCTCTCTGTCTTTCTCTCTCTCTCTTGCTCTTTCTCTCTCTCTTGCTCTCTCTCTCTTTCTCTCTCTCTCTCTCTCTCTCTCTCTTGCTATTTCTCTCTCTCTCTCTCTTTCTCTTTCTCTCTCTCTCTTTCTCTTTCTCTCTCTCTCTCTCTCTTGCTCTTTCTCTCTCTCTCTCTCTCAGTTATTATGTTCTTTTGTTCTTGTCTTCATGTCTGGAGCTGGAGAGCAGAGGCAGAACAGGGAGTGGGAGGGGAGGGGGGACCAGCCACAAGAGGAGCAATTATTTGGGGATGAGATCATTGTTTGGCCCCGTCTCTTCACGCCTCTGGCCCACTGAGGCCGAGCCGAGCAGCCCGCGCTCTCGCCTTATCTCTCACTGCCGTGCCGACTCCGACATACAAGGACATATTTCAGGGAGTTCGGCTCGGGGACACCGGCCACAGCTGCTGCTCCGCCGAGAGTAACAGATATTCATATACAGTACTGTGCAAAAGTTTTGGCAACACGAAAAAATTCTAATTAAAAGTTAGTCTAGGCAGTAAGCTTTTATTTACTCAGAAAAAATAAATACAAACATTAACACAAAACATCAGTGTGTTCATTCAACCATTTCCAAACCACCCCTGAGAAAGCTCAGTATTAATTGTAAGCATTAATATTAAAACCGTCTGGTTTGGCTGACCAATGCGTCATTATAGGTTAATTCAGGTGCCGCGTTATTTGTACTTATTCTGACGATTATACAGTGTTTTTACTGGCACATTAACTGCCAAGATAAACAGTTTAAAACAATGTGCTTAAGGCCCCAAGGCTTTCACACACTACTGTGTCTGTACGTTTACATATGTGTATCACTGTCCAAAGAAAAACAAGTATCTCCAAAATGGTAGCTTCACACGAGAGCAGTAATGTAAGTTACTGTAAAGGCGTTTTATTCCGTGCAGTTTTGGAGCATTTTTATTGATCCATTTATCATGAAATGTAAAAATGTACACAATGTAAAGGACCTGCAGAAAAATAAAAATTGGAAAAATGGAGAATACTCCTTTTAATGGACAGGGATAATATATGTGGGTGTCTTTCTATTTGCTTTGCTCTCTCTGAAGGAGCCGATTTTCCTTAAAATAATAGAAATAAAAAAAATACAAATTTATTGTGAAAAATGAAAAGATTTCCTTTTGGTTGCTGAAGTTCAGCATAGGGGTAGGGGTGGGCAGTAGGACAGCATTTATTGCTATCATGATAAATTATGCCACAATAAGCTTTTCTGACCATACTGTGGAAGTTGTCAGTACTTAAAGAGCACTGACCAGCTGCACATTTCATTATGAAGAGAGCATAATGTGCCCTGTTAATCTAGATTTACTGTAGTGCAGTATGTGATGAATATATCGCTGCTGTCAGAACAAAACCTTGTATCTCCATTTTTGTAGTTCTGTACTTTTTTTAAGAATTTGAAGATGCCAGCTGCCCTGTACATTGTGTTAAAATTTCACGATGACAGATCAGTAGAAATTACCTAAAATTACAAATTAAAAAATCTGGTTCTGGTAACTTCGATTCAAAGTTAAGATTTTTTTCTTCTCCTATGAAGTCACCATTTTGAAAATTGGAGGTTTTGCTCTGACAGCAGTGATAAATGCACATACTCTTCTTTCTCCGCTTATTTTCCTTTGACTCCTTTCTTATGCCAGTGGTTTATCTTACATCTGATATCCTCAGAAACATCTCCTGAAAAGCTTGTTCTGCTTTGGCTGTTTTGGCCTGAAACTAATTACTCCCTTATTCCTACAGTGATAATTAGAGAGACAGAGTCTTTATAATAAAACACAGATCTGTGAAGAAATCAGGGCAGAGAGGAAAAACTGTCCACAGATAAAGATCACAGACTCACAAACATGGCTCAGTGTGGGTTAATGTGGGTTAATATGGTAGCATTTTTGAATCAGAGCCCTTTATTTTCAGGAATGAGGAAGAAACAGAGACTCTGGGCTTCTTGTGTGAAGTCGTCTTTCTCTCTGAGGGCGTGGCTGAAGGTGATAGAGCAGAAGGGTTTATACAGGCCTTCTGAAATCTCAACAGTGCCAGGTAGTTCTTTGAATAGTGATAACACTGAATTACAAGGTGACCTGTGCCATGGAAACCTGACTCCTGCTTGTTTTTTTGGAATAGAACAGTTTGCTGTAGTGTGTAATGTACCATATATAAAGTCTTAAAGGCTCAGTAATCCTAAAGGTTAAAGAGTAGCTGGAAAATGGTAATGTAGAAATGAATTATGACTGTTTTTGGTACATAAAATGATACAAATGTTAAAAGTGGACCTTAAGGGAAAAATAAAATACAATAAAATATAATAAAACCCCATTTTTTTAGTTAAAAAAGCAATAAAACTAACCTCCCAAATCTCAGTGGAACATGCCTAAAAGGTCGTAGTTGTTCTTCCCCACTTTTTCCCCAAAAAATATCCATTTATGCCACAAACATACACAGCGCAAACCCTCCTCCCATGTTAACTAGTGTTCTTTAATAAAGAAAATGGTTCTATATAGAACCATGAACAACCATTTGCATGCTTAAATGGTTCTTTGCATGGTGATAACGGTTCTTCAAATTGATGGAGAATGTATTGTAAAGGTTCTATAGAGAACCTTTTTTGAAAAGGGTTCTATAGAACACCAAAAAGGGTTCTGCAATTGTATACATCGTAACAATAGCAGAACCCTTTTTGGTGCTATACAGAACCACATACAACACATTCTCCATCAATCTGAAGAAGCATTATTACCATGCAAAGAACACTTTAGTCATGCAAATGAATCTTTGAGAGTTCATGGTTCTGTGTAGAACCGTTGTCTTTATTAAAGAACCCTTGAAGAACCATCTTTTTTTAGAGTGCAGTTAGCAATATCTGCAGAAATGTGTTGACGTTATTCGCTTCGCAGATAAAATCCCACGGCCGCAGTGTTTACTCTAGCAGAGATGACAAGCTCATTTCAAGACCCAGGCAAACACTCTGACTTGGGTGGGCTTCTGAAGACCGCCTGTTGGTCATACATTGTGTTCATACCAAATAAACACGGCCGGGATGTTTCTTGATTCGGCCACCTGTTTTTGATTCTCGCAACGCAAACGTAGCCAGAAATTGCAGTTTTAAAGGACTTATGCAATGTTCCCTGAGACCCGGCCAAAAGAAACCTCTGCAGTGAATCACTCGCCGTCTGAGGAGCGGTGAGATCTTCCTGACGATGTTTCTGAAGGAAGTGAAGACGGGACCAAACGCTGCGTCCCGGTCCTGGTCAGGAGCGATAGCTGTGGACCTTCACACCTCACTGTGCAGTGCTGTTCTGAAACTCTTCTCAGATATACGTCGTAAAGTTCTCTGGTCTTAAAGTGGGTTCCTTAATACGCTGTTCCCAGACTGAAGTCCAAGAGAGCGTGAAATGGGCCTTAAGTACCTTAGCATGTGGTAAAACAACTAAAATACAAACCTCAGTTAGAAAAAAGTTGGGACTGTGAAACGCAAACAGAAAACCGTGATTAGTGAATCAACTTTGACCTGTATGTAAACAGAAGTACACACTTAACAACAATGAACCCTTTGTATGGTCAGATGGCTCTTCAGATCGATGGAGAATGTGCTGTGAATGGTTCCATGGTTCTTTTTGAAAAAAGTTCTGTATAGCACAAAAAAGGGTTCTGCTGTTGTATGTAAGCTTGACATTGTAACAAGAGCAGAACCCTTTTTGGTAGAACCATCTACAGCACATTCTCTATCAATCTGAAGAACTCTTTCATAATGCAAAGAACACTTTATTCGTGCAAAGGGTTCTTTGAGTGTTCATAGTTCTGTATAGTACAATTTTTTAAGAGTGTATTACAAAGGCAAGACATTTAATGTTCTATCGGATCAACTTCATTGTGCCTGTAAGCGTACGCTCATTCTGAAAGTGTTTGCAACACATTCCAAAAAAGTAGAACCAGGATAAATTTAAGATTAGCAACATAAAAATGTTCAAATTCATCTTATAAAAGATGGTGCTTCAAGAGTTTTTTAGTAAAGGCATGGTTCTATATAAAAGCATGAACAATCAAAGAGTCATTTTATTGCTGAAAGTGTTCTCTGCATGGTGAAATGGTTCTTCAGATTGATAGAGAATGTGCTGTATATGGTTTTATATTGATCCTTGTTGAACATGGATCTATATAGCACCAAAAAGGGTTCTTCTGTTGTTACAAGCTTGACATTGCAGCAATAGCAAACTCTTCTTGGTGTTATATAGAGACATATGCAACACATGCTCCATCAATCTGAAGAACCATTTCAGTAAGCATGCAAATTGGAAGTCAAATATCAACGTTGTCCAGAAACACCGCTGACTTCTCTGGGCTTGGGCTCATCTGAAATGGACTGATGCACAGTGAAAACTGAGAGGTTGGAAAATGGTAATGTGGAAATTAATTATCTTACAAATGTATAACACAAATGTTGAAAGTGGACCTCAAGAAAAACATAAAATACAAAAAATATAACACAGGCTAAAAAAAAATAATCAAAACTAATCTCTCTAATCTCAACACATTCAGTGAAACATGTTAAAGAGGTCATAGTTGTTTTTCCCCTGTGTTGTCAAATGAAAGGTGATAGAGTGGTAAACGTGCACGTTTTTGGAAAGTGTTGCAGACATCAAATTTGAAATGAATGTATATTTACAAAAATTATGTAAGAAGTAAAATTAAATAGTATGTTTTGTGGACTGTTTTGAATTGAATCCAGTTGGAACAGAATTTACTGATCACTGTTTTCAGTTTTTATTAGCAGTGCATTTTAACATACTGTCCCAACGGTTTTGGAATTGGGGTTTGTAAAAAATGGACACTAACTGGGAAAAAACAGAAGAAGTACCAACACAAACACAGAGACATACGAGCTCAGATCTTACAGCAGTCTGTTCTGGAACCCAGACATTATGCTCATGTTCACGTTTCACTTTTGTTATCATTCACAAACCCGGGATAAATAAATGATCACCACATACCAGGAGGAGCTGATGTTTACATACCTGTGAACTGAAGAGCCAGACTGTGAGGAATGGGTCTCGTCTCATTTCTGTTATCTCCTGCAGGCCGAGGCCTGGATCCAAGGGAAGCTGAAGAATCTCCGAGATGGCGGTAATATGCAGAGATGCTCCTTGGCTGATTGGGAGGAAGTATCTCAGACTCTCCAGAGAGACCTGAAGGACTTTGAGAACACGCTCATTCAGCTTAACCAGGTGATGGAGGATCTTCTTTAACCCTTTACTCTGATCTCACACGGCACTAGCAGCACATTTAGAGTTTTAGATGCAGGAGGAAAGATGCGCTGTGACCTTTCCACCAACACAACACGCCCCTCTCATCATCTACGGTCAGACTGAGACTGATGTACTTCATCCCAGGTTTCGTTCAGGGGTCTTTTACCCACTCTTCAAACAGACACAGCTATAGGCTATACTATGACTATAGAGAGTCGTATACCCATACAGAAACCTGATATAGGCCAGTATGGATTTAAACTATATGACATAAATTAGCCTATATGAATTTCCCTAATATCCAACTTACATTTGTCATATATGGCCATATGTGTATGTATACATATACATAATAAAAGTTAAAATATTGAATGATTTTACAAAATATTGAATAATTTTACATTTTATTTTGTTTTATTTTGTGTGATTTTACTGTTAATTTGTTCCTGTAGTTTTGTTCGTTAGTTTAATCTGATTAAGTTCAATTTTAATTTCTTTTTCAATCCCTTTACGCTGTAAATACTCAGATGCATTGAAAATGAGGGTCACCCTCAATGTATTTCTCAGTGAAAATAAAGGTTTATTGATTGATTGATTGATTGATTGACATGACATAAATGCCATTAAATTATTTAAAATTGGCCATTTTTTTTACCAGCAATATACCAGCATATACATACTTGTATGTGTAACACATATGTTCAAAAGTATATGATAGCAAACATTATTCATATACAGATGGTATATTACTCTTATATGCTAGCTTCATGTTATATGATACGAGTTTTTAGTGAATGTATGCTTTCATTTTTTTGTTTGTTTTTAAAAAGTCTTTCGGTGTTTGTATCAGACATATATGTATCAAATATACAATATATGTATGATCCCTATGTGGTGTCCAATATTTGATACTTACATACATGCACACTATATATGTGTACTTATATTCTGAAATTTATGATACTATATGGTGTATATATGGCCATATATCAGATTTCTGTATGGGTAAACATGTACGTCGGCAAATTCCTTCTAATAAAAAATCCCTCAATAAATAGTCAGGCTCAAGCTGGGTGGACGGCCTCAAAAAGGTTAAAGAACGACTGCATTAGACAAACAACACATCACACAAATCAGAGAGAATATCACCTGCCACTGTGCATCTGTAACAGGCACCTGAATTTGGGCTTGATTGATTATTAATTATTTTTATTGTCAGGTTTATCTTTAAATGATTCATTAAATTTGGTGTATTGAAAGCCTTGCTGGTGGTTTCTCTCGTTCAGGTATCGTCGTTACAGATTTTACGATGAGCATTTTTACTGCTGTGTGAAATAATCCCACTCTACAGACACGTTACTGCTTCAGCTGTACAGGTGCATCACTCAGTAATGTGTGTCTGAAATCGCTTGTTTAAGTCCTGGTATCAGCACTAATACTGATACAGTGCAACATGTTACAACCCCAAAGGTCAAGGGGTCAAACAAAGAGGTCATACGTAAAAAAGAAACAACAGCAAAACACCCGCCAGACCAAAACACTGTGAACCCACACAGAATGGCGTCAATGTTAGCATAAAATTTGATGATGAATGGACAGAAATGCTCCAAAATCACTTAGACTGAAACCTCTTTGCATTAACTTACATTAAAGGTTAGACCCGGTGTAAAGTTACTTGTTTGGAGGTACACGCCTTTCACCAGACAGCCAGTGTTATCTAACCCCTTAAATGGCCAGGGCCAAGTTTTATTACACACTACTATAATCTAAAAATACACACTTAAAACACTTCTGTCTTCAAGGGTTCTTTAGCAAAGAAAATGGTTCTATGTAGAACTATGAACACTCAGAGAACGATTTGCATGATTAAGTGGTTCTCTGCATGATTAAATGGTTCTCTGCATGATTAAATGGTTCTCTGCGTGGTGAAATGGTTCTTCAGATTGGTGCAGAAGCAGGAGAGATGGAGGAGCATCATCTCGCCCTCCAGACGCACCTGTAAAAATCTGACTGGAGTCACATTTCAAACCACTTCCAAATGTGGTTTAGATCTGATTTGTAAAAATCTGATTTCATGTGGTTTTTAGTTGTGCAGACTATAAAAATCAGTCTGGATACACCAAAAATGGGATATGGGCTGGCAGTCTGAACACGGCCTAAGAGACAGAAAAAGGCTTCAGGAGAAAGCGAACACCCGAAACCAGCTATAAACACCCGAAACCAGCTATAAACACCCGAAACCAGCTACGAACACCTGAAATCAGCTATAAACACCCGAAACCAGCTATGAACACTCGAAATCGGCTACGAACACCCGAAACCAGCTATGAACACCCAAAACCAGCTATAAACACCCGAAACCAGCTACGAACACCTGAAACCAGCTATAAATGTAAACACACACAGGAGCCAAAACAAGCCACACAGAGTGTTTGGTCTGGTCGGTGGGAAAGCGGATGGCACAGATGTGACAACCCATGCAGACAGCCATCTTGTTTTCCTCCAGCCTTTATATAGCTGGAGCGCCCCCTGCTGCAGCCAATCAGAAGATTCCAGTCTCTGGTCCAAGTAGAAATATAGGTGCTAACTCCCATCTTCCAGCTTTGAGAGAAGCCAGCAGTAAATACAGTAAATTAATCTCCTCCTTCTAAACCCCAGGTGTCCAACACAAGGCCAGCAGGCCAAGTCAGGCCCATGACACAATCCTATCCAGCCTGCAAAACTATTTCAATTTTCTGTTAATGTTAATTTCACCGTGACCTGCACTACAATCCGCAGCATAGAGCTCATTTTTTATCTTTCGTTTATTTTTTATTTATATATATATGTAGGATTATCTTATCTTACACAATGTGATGTACGCTCCAGCCCCCCCAACAACAATCTACGGGACAGCATAATACCACAGAAAAAGAGATGGCAGCTGGCTCGTTCACGCAAATAGGCAGTTTTAAAAAACCTGGGGACGTTTAAAGAGGTTTAGCAGTTCTCTGTAGCTAATGTAGCCTGTTGTTATATATACAACAATTTGTTTTTGTTTAAAATGAGTGGTACTCACAATATTCATGTAATATTTCAGGGCCTGTTTTGCTGTTGCAGTTTTGGCATATTATGACTAAACAATTTCCAGTTCTGTTCACAGCAAAATGCTAATTAAAATGAAATAAAACATAGCTAGATTTTTTAATATGGCCCTTTTAGTGGTTCAGTTTGACCCCCTGTTCTAAACGGTCATGGTTGGACTGCTTAGTGGATAAGCTGAACTGCTGTAAATGAGCATCAGACACATCTGTCTGTGTTGTGTACAGATGGGGGAGCAGTTGATGTGTAAGCTGAACCCGACCTCTGACCTGGTGAAGATGCAGCTGGGTCAGCTCAGAGACCAGTGGAGCACGCTTAAACAGACCGCCGCCACTCAAACCAGAGCAATGGGCGGAGCTCAGAGTCTGCAGGAGTTCAACAGGAAGGTGGATCAGCTGGAGATGTGGATCAAACGGAAGGTAGAGCTCCAGTCTTTCTGTACAAACAATGGCTCAATGCTGCATCATCACTGTCCAAAAACCACACAAAACAATATGTATCTCTATTTTTGGTGATTTTTATATTTATGCATCATTAGAGCAGCAGCTGCTCTACATTGTGTGGAAATTTAATGATGAATGGACAGAAATGCTCCAAAATCTCTTAGACTGAAACCTCTTTACATTAACTTACATTAAAAGTTGGAGCCGGTGTGAAGTTACTAGTTTGGAGGTGCACGTCTTTACATGTGTTCTGCTCTCCTGCTTTTTCATTTATTCAGACATTAGAAATTAGGGCTGGGCAATATTGACAATATTTATCATTATTATGATAAACTATGTCACAATTCAATATAGTATGCTTTTCTGAAAATTTCGAATATTTATGATTCATTATAAAGAGAGTAAAATTAGTCTGTTTAACTGGATTTAGTGCCAAATACTTTTTTCTCTGTCTGAAAAAATAAATATTGTGACACAGGGTGTATCATGAAAATTTCTTGAAGTATCACAATATTTTTTTTTATTGTCCATTTTTATATTGTCTATATTTTATATTGTCCAGCTCTATAATAAATAATAATCATAAATAGTTAACACTGCCTAGCCAGCTAACGATAACTAAAAATATACATTGCATTATCTACCTTATGTATCTGTCAGATGGCAACAAGATGATAGCAAGACTTTGCTGCTGATTGCAAGATACAGATTGTTTTTCCATTTGTTATAAATAATCAGACCCTAGCCAGCTAACGCTAAATACACTGCATTAGCTAGTTTAGCTAGTGAGCTGTCTTCTTCCTTTTTAACATTTTTTAACACAAAACTCATTTGCTCTGACAAAAACTAACATTTATTATCTAACATTTATTATATTTATCGAGCTAACATTTATTATTTTTGTATGATAAATAATCCTAACACAAGCTAGTTAACGCTGGTTAATGCTAGCTGTCCAAATAACATCAGTCATAATAATATGCTGCATTAGCTTATTTAGTGGCTGAGTGATGTTGGGAAAATATCTAATTGCCATTTTTCTGATCAATATTGCGATTGTGATTTAAAAGTGACTATTTTCTATAAATTAAGCTTTTTTAAATTAATGTAGGAATATAATCAAAATTGATGCTTTTGTGATTTAAAAAAAAAGAACTTTAAAATGTGATATAAAAAATTAATCATTCAGTGCTACTGTGATCTTTTTAGATTAGATGATTAGATAAAAGACAAAAGCTATTATTTCCGACTGCATGATTCTGATTATGCTTTTCCACTCATTGTTTTTGCCTGATTATTAATTAATAATCCTAACATCAGTTAGCTTGTTACTCTTTCTAAAAAAATTATTTGCTTTTATGCTTTTCCATTGTTTTTTCGCATTATCTACACACTTAAAAAGGATAGTTTTCTTAATTAAGGGTTCTTTAGCAAAGAAAATCTATATAGAACCATGAACACTCAAAGAACCCTTTCCATGATGGAATGATTCTTTAGACGGATGGAGAATGTCTTGTGTATGACTCTATATAGAACCTTTTTAAAAAGGGTTTAGCATCAAAAAAGGGTCCTTCAATTGTAACAAGCTTGATATTGTAACAATATAAGAACCATTTTTGGTGATACATAGAACCCTTTTCAAAAAGGTTCTATATAGAGTCATACACAAGACATTCTCCATCCGTCTAAAGAATCATTTAATCATGGAAAGGGTTCTTTGAGTGTTCATGGTTCTATGTAGAACCATTTCCTTTACTAAAGAATGTTATTATTAACTGAGCATTTAATTAAAACACTTTTAATAAATTAATCTGTGTCATTTTCTTATATGATTCTAAATTAATACTTATAATTTCTTGTATTACAGTTTAACTTCACCACCTGTCTGTAAAGCACTTTGAGCTGCCACTGGCATGAAAAGTGCAATATAAATAAATTATTATTATTAATTAATTATTAATTTTTAAGAGTGTTTAAATCAACAATACTGCATATTTCTTATGGAGATGTTCCAGAATTTGGGGTTCTGCTGTTAGCACTCATTTCCTTTCCGTCTTTGGGAGCCTCTCAGCTCCAGCCAGCAGTGTGAGGTGTTGCTTAACAAGTCCATGCTGTTTCCCATCTTGTGTGGTAGCTAGGCTAATTTAGAACAACAGTAGCTCTGCTCAAAGAAAACAATGGCTGGACTGGAACAACGTGTGGCAGTGAAGCAAACACTTTTTATGTGTCGGCAGGAAGAGGAGCAGTCGCTGGCCAGCCTCTTAGGGGAAAACATGGACAAGCTGCAGCTGACGCGGAGGATACTAGATTTGAAACAGGTGAGGCCTTTCACAACAAGGAGCATCTGAGATCTCACCGAGGGATTGCTGCAATCTTCTCCACAGGCAATTCTAACCGCTGTGCCGAAGTTAAGCCTCACTGTGAGATTGTTTGCTCTGCTTAATCTTAGGATGAGCAGCTGTATAGAAACCTTCACGAGGAGATCAACCATCTGGCCCTCAAACTGGAGAAGCAGGCGAAGGGCGAGGGCAAGAGCATCTCCACCAGGAGGAAACACATTAATAAAATGTGAGTCGGTAGTTCCCACAGATCCAGCCATCGCTCACTGATGTGGGACCAATGCATTTTGTATTTTGGGGTTCTAGGTGGCTGAAAGTTCAGTCCCACTTGAAAGACTGTCGGGAAAATCTACAGCTGGCTTTGGAAGTCTCCTCCTTCTACCAGCAGGCTGATAACATCATCTGTTCCATCAACAACATGGTAATAATCCTCGAATCATTGCTGCTGTCAATGCTATTGTTGCTGTTCAGCCTCAGGGGAACCATAGAATGACTATTATGTTTGATGTGACTTTTGATATTGATGACTACTGCATGACTTTTCATATTACACACATGAAGTAATGAAATTGATTGATGATCTGGTCATATTTTCTTACATCATGTCTAGAGAAAAGGCCTCTCCGTAACCGACAGAGCTGGAGAAAGTGGAGACGGAGAGATTCGGGATATTGCCAGTCAAATTATGGTGTGTACTCATTTCACAGTAAAATATCTTACTTTAATACCTTAATACTTTCTGCAAGACACTGTGAATAAAAATGTAATTATATGAAAGAATATGACAGTTTCTCAAATAAATCAAGCCAATCATAGAGCACCTTTTGCTAAAAACCTCACCTTATTACTGAATGTCCAATCGTAGCTTAGGCCCGGGGACCTCGGAGAAGCTTTCAGAATGAAAGAAAATGCTGAAACGCTGTGCGGGGAGGAATACTGGATTGTTATAATATATCAGAATACTTTCACTTTTGATGTTTAAGTACATTTAAAAGCAAGTACTTCTGTATCCATATAGAAAGAATATATTCCAAATGTATTTATTAAACATATCGCTGTTGTCGTAAGAAAACCTCATATCCTCATTTTTAATATTTTTCAGTTTTTGACATAATTTTAAAAAAATACCTGTTACCCTTTACATTGTTTGTAAATTTCATGATAAATGGACTAAAAGAAACGACCTAAAATGACTTGGAAAAAAAATCTGGTTCCATTGACATTAAAAGTAAAGTAGGTTTCTTCTTTCTTCTGTAAAGTTACCATTTACGAGGTTTTCTTCTGACAACACCTATATTTTTGCAGTGTATAAAAATGGCCATAAAATGTATTTGTTAAATATATTGTTAAAATGCATTTATTTGTATTTGTTAACATATTTTTTAAATTTTATGCCGTTTTAATAGGGGTTACAGATATAACTAAATATACATGAACTGAATGAAGAGTACTGACTTTACATTAACCATGTACGTCTGCAGTCAGACTCTCACACACAATGTACTTCAAATAAATAAGATATTAAATCATAACTGCATTTTCACAGAGTATCAATACCCACAACACTCGCTTCTGTCCTGTTAAAGGATCATTAGATCAGATTTAAAATGAAGATACTGGAAATTCATTTCTAAAGGTATCAGACAGTGAAGAGCATCAGACAGGATTCTGGATATTTTCAAACATTTTCAAATGGATATCATCAAATAGATAATAAATATATTTACATACATTTATTTCTGTATGATACATTTCTGTGTGTAATATTTCCCCATACATTTTAAAATAAATGTGTTTTAAAATATATTTGGTTAATATGGCAAAATATTCTGAAATACATTTTAGTGTTCTAATGTAATTCAGCATCGACTGCAGTGTATTTAAAATGTCTTTCCATTATATAAAAATATATTTCCATATTTTTCCAAATGGGTAATTTTGTACTTCAAAATATAAACAGAGTACTTACTTTTACTTGAGTAATATATTACAGAGAATGTCTCTACTTTCACTGAAGCACTGCATTTGTGTACTTTGTCCACCGCTGTTTATTACACATTCTATAACATAAGAATAACTCAGCCTGTTTGCTCTGCTGTCCATGTCGTTACTGAGTAAAAAGCTTCAGGCTGCAGTAAGTCTGGATTCTTCTATTCAAGTTTGTATATAAATTTTGGTGCTATATAGAACCATATACAACACATTCTCCATCAATCTGAAGAAAGAGTTCACCATGCAAGGAACCAGTTAAGCATGCAAATGGTTCTTTGAGTGTTTATGGTTCTGTAGTTTACTAAAGAGCACTTGCATCACAAGTGGCAATGATGGGGGTCCAAGCACCACATGCTTTGTGAAGCCAGTAGAACACAAATGATGGACAGCATGTTTAGAATGGCCTCAGTTTACAATAGATGTGGGGTCTCAAATGGAATTATCTACCAAATTTCATACCTACTAGGATTTGTAGAGGTGAAGCACATTGCTTGATCATTCATAAGCTGTATTTGACCCAGATCTCTGTTTTCTGCTTGCAGGTTCTGGATGTAACAGTATCCCAGCTTTCTAACCTGCACCCTGCTCTGGCTACCAGAGTGTCCCAGAAGCAGGCCGAGGTGAAGGACAGCTGGCTCCTGCTCCAGAGTGCTATCAGGTGACTCAAGCTAACTACCTCAGGCACCTATGATGTCCCTGCAGGGACTCGAGTCACTTCCTCCCTTAATGGGAGCACTGCAGGACATGAAAACCCTTTTCCATGCTTCTGTTTTTGTCGTGTTTGTAGAGAACCATGAGGAACCACAGCCAAGGAGAGCGCTTCCAAATGATAATTAAATGTGTATGAAAGATGTGTGTTTATTTTCTTAATGTCAGAAAATTGCTGATCTGAATTTTCCTCCCTTGATCAGGCCAGTGCTTTCTTCGGATTTTAACAGAGCGGTATACAAGGCCACTAAAGCTCTCTGAAGAGGAAAGCGTGGATAGTAAATTTACTTGGAAGCTTCCCTTTAGTGCTACTTTGTTTGTTTATTGGTTGTTGTTTTTCCCTTAGGTCAGTCTCTGGGTTTAGATTGCCATCACATGGCCTTCTTTTATTGATTTAATTGTGTTTTGAAGTTTAATAGTCCATATTTCCCTCCCAGATACCTAGGAGAGCTCCACTTTTCCTTCATAACTGCTTTCTATTAGCAATAATTAGGCTGCTTATTGTGAGTTGGTTTCTGTTGCCTCAAAGCTTTGTTATTCAAAATGTTCACCCACTATTACAGCAAATTGCTTCTTAAATGAAACATATAGAAGAGCATCCTTAAAGTATCTCATGGTACACTCTTAAAACGTTCCTCAGATTGATGGAGAATGTGTTATAACAGGCTCTATACAGCACCTTATTGGAATTGGTTCTATATAGCACCAGCACCAAAAAGGTTTCTTTTATTCAAGTTTGTTTACAATTGTTGGTGCAGTATAGAACCATATACAACATTCTCCATTAATCTAAAGAACAATTTTAGTATGCAAACAACCTTTTAAGCATGCAAATGATTCTTTGAGTGTTCATGGTTCTATATAGAACGCTTAAAGAACCATCTTTTTTGAACGTGCTTTTTTCAAGGGTTCTTTGTTAAAGACAATGGGTCTCTGATGTAGACTTTTTCTTAGGACCTTTCTCAAGAACACATTTAAGAACAAACTTACAAAGATATTGGTGAATGAGGCCCAATGGTCCCATATAGAAACACTCAAAGAACCATTTGCATGCTTAAAGTGTTCTGGTGGTGAAATGGTTCTTCAGATTGATGGAGAATGTGTTGTATATGGTCTTATATACATTTTTCAAAAAGGATTCTATACAGCACCAAAATGCGTTCTGCTATTGCTATGATTTCAAGCTTGTAATGAACAGAATGGTTCTGAGTGTTCATGGTTCTACACAGTTCACCAAAGAACACTTTCATGTTCATCACAAGTGGCAATGATGGGGGTCAAAGCACCACAGCTTTATGAAGCCAGTAGAACACAAATGATGGATAGCACGTTTAGAGCGGCCTGAATTAATAATAGATCTGGGATGTGGGGTCTCAAATGGAAACACCTACCAAATTTCATATACATTTACTTTTTTGTCCTTATGGTATGGCAAGCAACAGATTTTTAACAATTAAATCAAAATTCCTAAAACAGTACAGCTTTGGGTCATGACTTGTACTTGCATACTTGTTGAACTCAATAGCCCCACAGTAATTAATCCCGTAGTTTAGTCACAGAGTTCACCAGGATTTCATGTAAAAATCACTAAAATTTTCTCAGACAGGGGGTTGGTTTCTGAACTTGTGACCTTTTTTACTGGGTTTTCAAACGCACAGCTCTGTTTGCTGGATACACGGATCTGTTTGCTGTCTCTTGTAAACCGATACGACAAAAGTGGTTTAGAATGTTCAGAGCGTTATGAGAAGTGAAGCTGAATGTAACTGAGCGTTTTTGCTGTTTACTGCAGTGAGCTGCGTGATGGTGATGAAGGTGTAAACTGTCCAGATTGCTGCTGTCAGTGTCGTACCTCCTTAGCACTGTTATTACATTCCTTGTTAGATTTATTTAGGAAAGAAAGTTGACTTGTCTCTGAAAAATGTAACTGCGAACACGTTTTTGATTAGTTGTGATGACATTTATACTGTGTGTGGAGTTCAGTTATAATCCAGACAGCTCACGCTCTGTCCAAACAGACTCAAACCCACCGGATGAGATTTGAACTTTTGCGTATTCGGGGGCTCAGGATTGTGTAACTGAGCTTCATCTGGTTCTTCTCATCCTCTGAGATGGCGAGAACTCCCAACGTTCTGTTTTTTTCCCCAGCATGCTCGAGAGACTCTTTCTGGTCTCTAGCTATTTCTGTGTAGTTCTTCTGATGAACGTATCATATTTCATCTCAGCCTATCATTTTCTGGCACTTCAGGCTCCAAACTGAGATGTGCTGCAGCGTTTGCTGTTTTAAAGGGCCCATGTCCTACATTCTCCTTACTTCATTTTTCCCCTGAGATCATTTTCATGACGTTTGTGTGGTTTTATGTACCAAAAACAGTCATGATTCACTTTTACATGACAGTTTTCCAACCTCTCTTAACCCTCAGAATGAAAAGGGATGTTTTTGTTGCCGTGCCGTTGAAACTGATGTATGTAAATGACCTCTGTTCTGATTGGCTGCCTCATTCAAAAAGCAGTCAGGGCTAAAACACTCCTTATAACGTCAGTGTGAGTGGGTGGAGCTGAACTGCTGTAGACTGAATACGTGGATATACGTCAATACACTGATTATTATGACACCACAAAACAAAAAATTCAGCTCAGTTTCCATGTGTTTAACATAAATTGAAAGAAATGACCCAAAATGACTTGGGAAAAAAGTCTGGTTCTATTGCCTAACATTAAAAGTAAAATATGTTTTTTCCTTCTCCTGTAAAGTTACCATTTTGGAGATATGAGGTTTTCTTCTGACAACAGTGATATATATATATATATATATAATGTATGTTTTGCACATTAGAGTTGGAGAAACATAATCTCGTTCAGCTGAAATATGCATGTATTTTTCAAAAAGCAATAAGTTTCAACATTTAGTATGTTGTGTTTATACTATTGTCAATTAAATTTAAGGTTAAAAGATTTGCACATCATTGCATTCTGATTTTATTTACATTTTCCCACAGTATCCCAACTCTTTTGAAAGCGGGATAATCTCAGTCTTATGCTTTGCTAAATCAAATCGGGCTGCAAACTAGTTTCAGTATTTAGCTTAGTATCTGCTTAATATCCACACCTCCCACTGAGCAGGTGTGTCAGGGAAGCCAATGGAAACCACATAGAAAACACAAAAAGAACCAACACATGATTAAAAACACCAAATGCTGTATGTTACATTTTGACCCTCCAAACATGAAGGTAACATCCACAGCTTTAGCTCAGTGTGACTTTATACACACATTTACGTGCAAACAGTCCTGTAGTCGGTTCATTCAGGCTGTTTTGGGAGCAGTGAGCGCTCTCTGCTACTCTGCTTGTATTTGTGAGCTATTTATATTTAAACCAGTGTAACTGTGCAGCTATTTAAACTCTGTGTGAACAAAAACAACAGAAAACATCTCAGACATTAGTAGTGAGTGATGTGACGGCTGTCCTATTGACTCTGGCTGTGCTGGCAGGTTTATCTGACCCCTGCGTGTTCCGTTTTAGGAATGAGAAGGCCGTCCAGTCGCACTCAGCCACCAGGGAAGACGCCGACCTCCCGACCTCAAATGGAGAACCGCTCAAAAGCGTGGGAACAGACCCGCACAGAATCATGGGAAAGGAGGTGAAGGAAGAGCAAAACCGATTGAAAGAGATTACGGTTAGTAAACCACCTCTACCGTAGCATGCTTTCTGCCTTTTCAAAGGGGAATTCCACCCATATTTCAAAATTTCTGCACAGTCTAATAACTGAGATGTAAACAAATAAAAAACTTCTCAGAACTATCCTAAAACAGTGTCTCAGTCATCAGGCAGTGAATTCATAACCATTTCATGTAGTAACTTTCTGTGAGGGAGCTTTTAGAGGTGGACGTCTGGTTCCTATCACCACCACTGTGAACAGCTCTAACTCTCAGCCATGTAATTATGCAGGAATTTTTGAAAAATTGGTGGAATTCCCCTTCATTGCTTTTTCCTCTGCTGATTATTTCTTCAATGGCCTTGCCTTTTACATGAAACATTCTGACATCTTGCTCACAAAAGAGTCATCATTTCTCGAATATCCTACTTTTTTGTGTTTTCCCGGAGGTCCCCTCGTGACATTTGTGTGGTTTTATGTACCAAAAAAATGTCATTTTGAAAGCTCTCTTTATCCCTCAGGCCTCGTCCACAAGTATCCGGATATTTTTAAAAAATGACTCTAAACTGCTTACGTGAGCATGCCAGCTCAGTAGAAGGCAGTTTTATCCCATAAAATTTGGTTTCAGATTCCTCAGGAAGCAGAGATTTCCTAACAGAGTGACTGTGTCATGTAATAAACAGTGTTGGCAATGACTTGCAGGTCATCAGACCTCCGTAATTCAAGTCTCATTTCTGCCAGAAAATAAAAGCTTAAAGTGAAAGGAAGCCTTCTGCATGCTGCACTGTGGCTTGTTTATGTTGCCATGGCCAAATGACCATCTCTGAAATGGCCACACAGTCCTGACCAGGCAGAGAAGCTGAAAGCTTTACACTCTTTTTCAGAGTTAGGAGTTTTATTCATATATATACTCTTAAACTCTTAGTAAAGAAAATGGTTCTATATAGAACCATGAACACTCAAACAACCTTTCACATAATTAATGATAGGGTCCTTTGCTTCCTGAAATGGTTCTACATAGCACCCAAAAGGGTTCAGCTATTGTCATGAGCCTGACATCATAACAAACGGAGAACCCTTGCTAAATAGAACATGTTTTAAAAAGGTTCTATATAGAACCATCTACAGCTCATTTTCCATCAATCTGAAGAACCCTTTTGCAATGCAAAGAACCCTTCAGTCATGCAAAGGATTCTTCGAGTGTCCATGGTTCTATGTAGAACCACTTTCTTTGCTGAAGAAAAGAACCTGTGAAGAATTATCTTTTTAAAGAGCGTATGTATGTACATATGTGTGTGTGTGTGTGTGTGTGTGCGTGTGTGTGTGTGTGTGTGTGTGTGTGTGTGTGTGTGTGTATTACTACTGCCAGAACAAAACTTCATATCTCTAAAATGATCATTTTAAAGGAGGAGGGAAAACATACTTCACTTTTAATGTAAGTCAATGAATCTGAGTTTTTCCAAGTTGTTTTAGGCCGTTTCTTTTGGTCCATTCATCATGAAATTTACACGCAATGTAAAGAGCAGCAGGCATTTTCAAATTACGTCAGAAACTGAAAAATGACAAAAATGGAGATATGCGGTTTTGTACATATAGCTCTGTTCTGATTGGCTGCCCTGTATTGGGTGTAATTTAAAAACTGAGCTAAAACGCGCCTCATAACGTACGTAAAAATGTTGATTTCTATCACATCACAAAAACCCTGAATCCATAACAGGCTGTTTTTACAGCAGGTTTGATTCCGTATGTGAACTGCACTGTATGTTTTGAAACTGGCAGTGTTTACATACTACATCACTCTCTTACACTAATCATGAACCACCCCACGCTCCTTTCACATCCCCTCTGTCTAACGTAGAGCCCGTACGACAGATTCAGGAAGAGCCGTGTGAAGCGTTATTTACCCTGGCTCTGGAGATCCAGACGTTTGCATTAGGAATGGCATGATTCGCTTTGCCAGAACAAGCTGCGTTTTCTCTCTAAACTCCCGAATCTAATGGTTTTCATATCCTCTCACATTAAGACTGAAACAACGTCTGCAGACTCCAGCCTCAAAGGGCTGAGCAGAAACCCAGAGGATTAATACAACGTTAATATAAGCTGAATTACGGGTCATTAGTGGGCATAAAGAGTTTCAGAGTGCGGCTCGTATGTTTTCTTCATCGGCACTCGAAGCAAGATTTATCTCCAATATTACACTGCATTACTGAGTGCTTGCTGTTCCAGATGAACATAAAATAATATTGCCATAAATATAGAATAAAAGAAGCGTTTGAGGACTCTAGACTAAAATAGCTCTGACCAGGTGGTTCAGATTGTCTTGTTTTACCAAAGTTAGCATTTTTAGGCCTCTGGGCTTTCAGTGAACATACTTCATAGACTGTGCAGCCACTGGCTTCTTCTGAAGTTTGGACTTTCCACCAACTGTAAAAACAGCAGAGGCTCAGGTGCTCCGTTGACCATTTATCACTATTTCACCATCATCAACATTCCATATAAACTCAGAAGACTCGTGTAGGTTCACTGGTGGTTCTGGATAGTAAATAAAATGTATATTTGTGTTGTAGTCATGGCGACCCCTGGTTCCTATCACCACCACTGTAAAGACATCTGAACCATTTCACACCAAACCACTCTGAATCACTCTGTTTACACCTCACATGCTGGATTATATAGAAATTCTGAACATTTGGTGGAATTTCCCTAGCACAGAGTTGGAGACCTACTAGTTACTCTTTGTGGTGTTTTAAAGGGAAAGACAAAACGTTATGCAGCCCAAACTTTCACATAGTGTTAATTGATTATGGTATATTGTGGTTGGGGAAAGGAGGGTCATAGCTGCTAAGGCTGTAGGCCTGAAACCTTCAGTCTTCTGTGTGTGGAGCAGTGGAGTTATCCACTACACTGTCCATTCAACAGAGAAAAAACAGAAATGGCATCTAGACCTGTGCTCACTGAAGGTAAAAACTATCACTAATTCGAGAAAAACGTTCATTTATTTCATGCAGACCACAGGAAGAGCACTAAATTATTGTTTATAATGTTTGCCTGCAATTTTAGTATCAGACTAATAGTAATAATTATATTTTATCAGCAATAACCTGTGATGCCAGTTTATGTCTTGCACTTTAATTAGAATGTGGCTCAGCTGAGGAACTGGGCTTAGTAACACTTACTGTGAAGTCATACATAGTTATAAATGTGCTTATAAATCTTTGTAATTTGGTAAGAATGCTTTGTAAGCACACTTATAAACTCCCGTAATGCCTCACAAGGCTGTAATAATGCTGTAAATAATACTTTGATTCCTTCTAAACATGTTGTAACACAGGTGTCACTATCCATGAACACTTAAATTGCCATCACTGAGTGGTTCAAGTAAAGCGTCTGATGTTCTAGATTATGTTTGAAAGTTACTAAGTCCACTTTACCTGAAGCACTCACTGACGGCATTTTAAATGTTTGTAATGTGTTTATAATTGTTAATATGTATAATAGGTGCTCCACAATTATGCACAGGTCATTATATATTTAAAAGGCATTATAATGTGGGGTAAAAAGGGGAACTTCCGCCTCAGGCTCGTTACGTGCTGGATGGTGCGCTGACACTCCAAAATGCTAAATTCAAAAAGAGCATGGAGGTCTGCACTCAACAGTTAATATATAGCTGCTTAGATCATTTTCTTTTAAATTATTTTACGGCAGATGTCTCAGCTCATGCCATCCTCAACGGCATTCAACATTACTGCCCTGATTTTGAATTGCTATGTGCTCCATTTTTAAGTGTAATGGCATGATGCTTGTATTACTATGTTTATTAGTCCCCAAAGAATTATGGATGCATATGCATGGCAGTCGTGGGCTGGAGGTCAGGGAACCAGCCTTGTGATCGGAAGGTCGCCGGTTTGATCCCCTGAGCCGACAGTACGTGAATGAAGTGACTGAAGTGCCCTTGAGCAAGACACCTAACCCCTAACTGCTCCCCGGGTGCCGTGGATAGGGCTGTCCACCCCTCCGGGCAAGTGTGTTCACTAGTGTGTGCGTGGTGTTTCACTGCACAGATGGGTTAAATGCAGAGGTCTAATTCTTCTGTGTGCAAACACAGTTGGACAATGGTTCTGAATTCTATTCTAATAGCTTGTGAATATGGGCTTTATAGGAACTGTTCCCTGGACTCTGTAAAGTCTTTTCTACACTATATTTATGAATTGGGGCCTCTATCTTGGTGGCACAAGTGTGAGGGCCCTGTATTTGTGGGTAATGGCTACCAGATGCAGTAGCCGCATGCTCCATATGGGCACGGTGATAGTTCTTGGCTGACATCACCACTTTGCATGAGTGCATTTGGGAAAACAGAGGGAAAGTGGAAGAAGTAGAGAGATAGGGAAGGAAGGAGAGCGCATTGGCTGGTGGTGAGAAAACTCAAACTATGTTTGGACTGCTTGGAAAAGAGTCTATTTTTGACCACGATGATGTAATTCTTTACTCTTTGTTTAGATAAACATCTCGAGTCGTTACGTACCGAGTGAAAAGAGAGAGAGTGGATGGAAGCGAGTGTCAGTGAGAGCATGTCAGCGACGGTTATCAGTGCTGTAGTTACGCTGCTGCTGGTGAATAACACAGTACCGTGCCTCTGGATTATTAAGAATGGGTGAGCTGCTCATTGACTGGCATGTTTATAAATGTTACTAGGCCGTATAAATGTACCGCCGTCTTTACGGCACTTTCTCATGCGATACTTTCTCATCTCTCACTCTCTGAGTCACTTCTGCTGAGCTCATGATAAGCCAATGGCATGCTCAGACTCGTATGCCAGCATAAAGCGGAGTCGTTAATGCGTGCAGCCAGCTGGGAGAACTCTGACGTTCCGCTGCCCAGATTTTGCACCGGGGGAAAGGCTCACAGGGCTTACAGCTAGAGCTGCAACACATATTCCACAATGTTCAGTTCATTAGGTAATTAAATTATTAAACTAGGTAATTAAAATGTTTGAAAACGGAAATTCATATAACAAGCACTTT